CAGTATAGGAGATGGGCTGTGTGACATAGAGCTCAAAGGGCACTCCTCGAATCACACAGACTAAATCTCCTCAAACTGTCCATGTTTCCGGGTGTGTGTCTCCCTCTGAGGGTAGTGTGAATGGAATCGTTTCCTTCCTCTGCCTTTGTTTAAATTGGAGCTGAATTTGAATTTAGATGCCTATGTAGAGTTGCTTACTATTATAGTAGTTAGGCCATGGATAACTAATGTTGGTAGTCAATGATAGGCCAGTTATATTGCGATAGACTTACCTCCACGTGGTGCATCCTGGACAATGTATATTGATATGGCAAAAAAGTCTATTATTCGGCAGTTGACTTCTGATTTCAAGCTACCATGACCCCACTGTATGTTAAATTCGACCACTTAAACAGTACTCATCTTACCTTTTCTCTGCCTATGTGACTATCTTTCACTTTACATCTGTGAATCACTCTTCTTTCCCCCCTCTCGAATTTTCCTCACTATGATGTTCCCCCCCCCTCTCCTCTGTGAAGTCCAAAGTCAGCTAAAGGGCTAATGATAACTATCATAACGCCTGATATTTAATAAAAAAAAACGTTCAGTGCCAACTGACTGGTACCGTTTAGTAAAGATGGGTCGATCTTGAAACTCCAATTCAATTTTTTCTTATATGAAAGAGACGAGGTAACTAGGGTGCGAAATTTAGGTCATTTCTATTTGGATTAGAAATGCTTAGTAATTCGACATTACGTGGGCGCTCTAATCATTCGAGAATTCCATATTTGGAATGCCTGTAAATAACTCGAAGTTCCGTGGGAGGCTATTTGGTGTAAAATGATTTCGATAGAAAATATGTTAAAGTAATCAAAAGTAAACCATGTAACTGGTCATTTGCATTGCTTTAGCTGTAAATTTTGTAGGAAATCCCTAATGGAAATTCCGTAGAGAATAGATGATAAAAAGGGCCATCTTGAGGAGTGGAAATATGTTCTCAATTCAAGTAAAACTCATAGAGACTCTGAGTATAAAATTCGATTTGCTCAATTAACTGGAAGGATGATTTGCAAAACAAAGGCAAACGGAACAAATCAAATATAGACCGGACAATTGTAGACAATAGTGGCAGAAAAAGTTAGTCGCAAGACCTGCAAGTAGGAGTCACGCCATTGCACTACACTCTTGTACTCGAATTTTTCCATCTCTTAGTCCCAAAGACATTAAAAATGTTTCTGGAACAGTATTTTGGCACAGTGATCAACGAAAGTCCAGTTATAACTGAAATGCTTGATATGTGAATGATCACACGTGTTTACGACGTTCTATTTTAAATCCTCTAGGGGTGCGTAATAGACTTACCTCCACGTGGTACACCCGGGGCAACATATACCCATACGGCAAAAAAAATCTATTAAATGGCAGTTGACTTCGCACTTCAAACTACCATCACCCCACTCTATGTCATATTCCACTACTTCCACAGTAATCACCTCACTTTTTTCTAACTTTGTGTCTGTTTCTTTTACATCTTTGAAACACTCTTCTCTTCCCTCCCCCCCCCCTCTCCTCTGTGAAGTCCAAAGTCAGCTAAAGGGCTAATGATAACTATCAAAACGCCTGCCATTTGAAATAAATAAATAAATAAATATATTCACAGAGATATATCCAGAGACAGAAACACTAGATAGGATATGTTTGCTAGTGCAAGAGGAAACATATTATATATATTCACCGCTTTACCAATAGATTTGAACCGTTTATCTTCCACCAAATTTATTCCAAAAGCAGTGCACTCTACACACTATTTGTTTTACCAATAACTATTCATCATATGAAAATGAAGTCAAACACTCTTTGATTGCGCTTAAACCGCTCCAGCATGTTGTTTTAATAGGTTTTATTTTAATATAATGCAACACTTACCTGATCAACCTCTCCAAGTTGCACTTATTGCTCGGAAATCAATCCTGTAGTGACAATGTCCATTAAACGTGCCTAGAATTATAGCTTTCTTTAAACATGCCTCCATTGATGCAGACAAATTTCTAACATAAATATGTTATTAAACATCTACTTAGACAGCATCTGCTTAGACGTTTGAAGACAACTCTGGGAACAGCTTCAATTTAATTCAAGTGATGCTTTATCCCTTGATAGAAGTGTATCAAGCAATTGCTGACAGTGGAAACAGGGTGTCGTCTGCATTATTGGATCTATCTACAATCCCTGGCCACATCTAGCCAACTGCACAGATCTCTCCCCCCTTTTTCTATGCTGCCGTGTGGTAGGAATTGTAGGTAGAACGATAGTAGCTCCTATGGGAACCATTAACCTCCCAAATAACTAAGCCATCACGTGTGCATTCCTTCTTGTAAACCCACAAAAATTTTAAACCACTAAGCAAAACTACGTTGCAAATTATTAGAGATCATATTGTGACTTTAAACTGAAGTGATTTGTGCTTGTAATTTTCCCCATTGATAACACAACTAATTGGAGATCTTAGTTAAGCGAAATAAATTCCAAAACCGCCTCACTGAGGCTAATTTTAGTCCAAAGAGTAAAGTTAAATGTCTTTTCATTGCAATTAACCAAACTGATGGATAAAAGCAAAAAAACAATCACATACATGACCTGTAGTTGCTGAAGGTTTATTTAAAATTGCAATCTGTTAGAAGGATAAAATAAATTACGGGTCAAAATATATACATCAGTAATAAATCTCTTCAAGTTTTTTGTGGAATTCGCCGTTTGAATTTCCGCCATTTCAGAGTCTTATCATTAAGAAAGTACTCATTGCTCTCTTTTACGCCTGGGCTTCCTATGAGGTGGCGATCTATAACGTTTGTTGTCTTTTTTAGCGGCATATTTATGTTCATTTCGATAGTAATGATCTCTATATCTAGGTGCATTTTCCTCATGCCTTCGTTCACAATGGTGACGATAATTATTTCGTAGCCTTTTATTGCGAAATCGGAGGGTTTCGCGTCGGTGCATAAAACGGACTGATATTTTTCTTGAACGCGAATTTGAATCCACGCGCTTTCGTCTCCTGTCATCAGCCCTCCTTCTACGTGACCTAAATTCATTTGATCGTGACGTCTTTCTACGTCTCCTTGACGTATTAGGCGGTAACTTGAAAGATCTATAGTGCGAGTAGCCATATCTCATGGCATTTAAATCAACCGAAGTATGAGTAGATTTCTTCCGAGACGCGTATATATTATTTGACCTATCAGGTGCTGTAATAGTTTCTTCATTAGCGGAAAAGTCAATTTTAATCGAGTGATAGACCAGAGCAGACCGCTTATCCCATTTACTTCTCTCTATTGGGTAATTTGTCAGATGTTTCTCCTTAAATGCACTGGTCGTCAGAACGTTGAAGTACGGATCTTTATAATGCTTCGTGTCACAAAATATAGGTTCATAGAGGTTGCGTTTCGGGGGCTTCAGGTTTACATTCTTAACTGGACTTTTAAAGCGGACAAAACAAGGTGTCTGAGGAGAATGCTTTATTAATGGTGTTGAGGTTACAATATCGGACGAGAGGCCGAAATGGGCTGCGATATCGTCAATCTGATCACGAGACATCTTTTCCTTTAATTCGAATATGATGACAATTTATGCTAAAAATGAGTATAATTCATAAGAATATAATCAACTGTTAATTAAGTATTGAAATAACAAAACAAAAAAATGTTCTTAAAATATACAATGAAAATTTTACACTTATATTAATGCATTTCAAATTATAATTATTCAAGCAGATCTTGGAATAAAGACGAGAAACTACTCTTTATTAAAAAGACTTGGGGTGCTCGATAGATTTACCTCCATGTGGTGCGCCCTGGGCAACTTATACTCATACGGTAAAAAAGTCTATTAACCGACAGTTCACTTCTGGCTTCAAACTGCCATCACCCCACTGTATTTCTTATTCTACCACCCCCAACAGTACTCACCTCAAGTTTTTCTACCTTCGTGTTTGTCTTTTACATCTTTGAAGCAGTCTTCTGTCCCCCCCCCCACCCCCTTGATTTTTTTTCACTTTGATATTTCTTCTCTGTGATGCCTGAAGTCACCTTAAGGGCTAATGAAACTATCAAAAATGACTGCCATTTGATATAAATGTTATTAAGACTTTAAAAATTGATAGTTAATTCTTTCTTTGTCTCAAGACTAAATCCATTTTATTAAAAGGGAATGTTATTTGGATAAACATTTTTAAATATGCGAAATCATACTAGGATTTGTTGATGCTTAATGAACATCAATGCCAGAAATTAATGTCACATTCTTTTTGAAAAGGAGATCATTACATATGAATTATTTGTTTCCTAAATGTAGGATTCTGGACCAAATTATTAATTACTTCACGATCTAGAATGTATTCATGAAAATATGCATCTCCCATTTAAGAAGTTTAAAATAGCATAGTCGGTTAATATTCCCTTGCAAATTTTTGTTCTGTTAGTTTTTCTCGATTAGAACATCTATTAAAGAAATAGGATTTAACCGAACTGTATATGCATCTAACAAATCCTGCCTAAAATTATTTTACAAAGAATAAAGATTTAAAAGCCAAGTAATTAGAGCCCTAACTGCGAATATTTGGGTTTATATAAATTTGTCCTTGATTAAGTTAGTTACAAGCATAACGAACTTTTCAAATCTTCAATCTTATGCGATTTACGAGAATTGAGAGGTTGTATGTTTCTTGAAACCGAATTATGAATTAGTTGAAATCAGAACATAATTTTATAAATTAATGGAGTAATCACAATGATTTGGCAAAAGTGGATAAAGCCTGTATTTATTGCATTTTACACTATCGCTCTATGCATCGGTCTCCCTTTCTGTATTGTCGCCTTGAAGCCTATATCAACCAATTCTATGACATTTGCTTGGTTTATTGGAGGCCTTTTCGTTCTTGGTGCTATTCCAATTTCAATTTGGACTATTCTAGAACATTTAATCAGTTATACGAAACCATATTTACAACTACATATCATTCGGTAAGCTAAATTCATATATGGTAATATTTTTCTAGCATCTTGTGGATGGTTCCCATATATGCCGTTAATGCGGTATGTTTAACTTAATTAACACTTTAATAACCTTTATAGTGGTTTGCTCTTCGTTTTCCCGAGTATGGTATCTACTTTGATACACTACGAGAGTGCTACGAGGCTTATGCGATTTATAATTTTTTAACCTTCCTTTTAAACTATCTCCGTCGAAAAGATGCCAATTTGGTCAACCACTTGGCTATCGTTCCTCAAGTAAAACATCTTCCACCGTTTTGTTGCTTAAATCCCTGGCCTATGGGGAGGTGTGTTGATTTATTTGCTATTTTTCCAACTTTAGTAAAATTTTTGCCTATATTGAATTTGGTAATAACTATTCCGATTTGGCGAGCTTTCCTTTCAATTTATATTCCAATCCTTTTCCTTTTGAGGATAGTTTTTCGAAGCCGTTTACTTTGCGCATTATTTATATCTTTATGCCATTGACGGAAAATTTTTTGCAATTTTTTGCAGGATTGTTAAAATTAGTGGTTTTAGAAATTCTTAAAATAGTGATATGAATTACCATTTTGATATATTAAAATGATTCTCTACATTTAAAACCGAATTTTTGTAACCATCAACTCTTAAATTGCATGGTTCTCTCAAATTTTTATAACAAATAATTTATCTAACTCTTTAATCGTCATTTAGTTGTGTACCGGTTATTATTAACTTTTGTTATTATCCCTCAACAGTCTATTTTATTTTTTTTCTTTTTAGACCTTTTATTGAACATTGTCGCCATGGTGTACTACAGTATACTGTTATTCGTCCAATTACGACAATTGTTGCTTTGTAAGTTCGGCATTTCGCTTTAATTTTTTGTTCACAAGAATCTGTGAAGGGGCCAAGGTTTATCAGGAGACCAACTTTAGTCCAAAATACGCCTACCTCTACCTCACTATAATCAATAACATCTCCCAGATTGTAGGTTTTTATACCCATTCTCCCTCCTTCCATTCTTATTTATTGCTTCTAATTTCTCCAATTTAGTGGGCGCTTTACTGTTTAGTCTTATTCTACCAATGCACGCGAGCAGAGTTGAAGGAAATGAAGCCTATTTCGAAGTTCATTTGTGTTAAATTTGTTGTCTTTATGTCATTCTGGTATGTGTGTTTACGTAAAAATTGAATCGATTGGGAACTGCTTCTTACGGGGGAACCTATATCTTCGTTTTTAGGCAATCAGTTCTAATATCCATCCTCGCCGCAACAGGTGTTATTCGGCGAGTTGAGGCATGGAAACTTGAGAATGAACGATCGATTTGCATTGTTCTTCAGGCAAATGACCACTTTTATCTTTACAATTTGTCGCTTGTTGCTGTGTGCTATTTATTTGTATTTGTTTACTTTTTATATTACTCTGTTTGGTTAAAGTTAACTATGATGTTTATTATTATAGGGTTTATTGAGAGGGAGTTCTGTATTACTTTACTAATTTGGGTGTATTACTAACGATCAAAAGTTAATTCTAATTATACCTAATTTAACGCGTCCATAAAGCGCTTTCAATCATACTGGAAATTGGAATATGGAAACCTTTAGGCTCAAAGTGAGGAACGTAGGGATAGTGTTGTAATTTGCTGTGTAATTGATTGTTTAACTATCTTATACTAACAATACAATGGTTCAGAAGCAAATGAAGTGAAAGCAAAAATAATAGAAATAGTGAAATAAGTGTCTTATTTTCCGTTTGTGGAAATCGCCTGAATGCTGCTTACCTTTTTTGTATAAGCAAATCTCCGGTCCCCTCACTCGTAATTAACATCAACTTTTTTCGCTTACTACTCATTTCTCTTTGCATTATTTGATTTTTTTTCATATCGATTTTAGAACTTTTTGGTGTGCATAGAAATGTTTATAGCCGCAGTGGGTCACCACTTCGCCTTCACGGCGGCCCCCTATCAAGACGCCAGTGCTCCAAGAACGTCTTGTTGTTACTCTTGGTGGTCAATGCTGGATATATCTGATGTTAAACGCGACGTTGTCCAACACGTTCGACATGTTGGTAAGTACCTCGATTTTCACCCATTTCAATCTGGTTTTACTCGACCAAACCACTTATTTTTTGTACATACAATCACCCAGTAGAAGTAATGGCAACGATTTGTTTTTTTTTTAAATTTAAGTCACCTATTTTATACTCGCTTGCAGTATACCGTCAATGCATCATTATTTTTGTTAAATGGGCTAGACAGAAACCTTGGGTGCCTTTTCTGTTTATAGCTTTACCTGGATGTTATTGTTGGTATACGTCATTTTTCGAGCATTAAATCATTCATAATAACTTATCAACGAGCGTTTGATTTTTGACAGTATCTCGGACGTAATTTTGGAGTAATTGGGTTTATCACCTTATTTTATTAAATAGTACGTTTCTTTGCTCTATGGTTGCGTAATTTTGGACTTGAAAAAGGATGCATGAGATCGATATTAAAATGGATGTCTTTCACAGTCACTATGTATTGTTGGGTATAGTAAATCTAAAATATTTCCCACTTTACCTTTGGATGGCGAGGAAGGCATCTATGGAATACAGGACATCAAGAGAGTCTTGGTTTATTTGAATTCTAAAAATAAAGATACTTATTTTTATAAGGAAAATGTTTTTTGTGTAATTTTCAAATTTACTAATTTTCAAAAAACGCTGTTTCATTATAGTTTGAATAAGTACGCCAAATTCTATTGAGGGCATGTCAATTCGTAGTACCAGAACGAACGTAGTTGTTGAATTGGAAATCTCATTGTGTTGACTTCTCAGACTTCGATGGTGATGTGCGTTGAGGAATTTCAGATGAGGTTTTGTAAGTTTTAAGTCTCCTGGGGTCAAATTTAGGGGACTTTCTTCGAATCTATCAAGCGGTTGTTTTGGCATTGGTAAACAATTGTGGGAATCGATTACGTTACTTCTTTATTACGTAAGATCGAAGAAAATCATGTTGAATTTTATCTCAACGTTGAAGATGGTATTTTTCTGGTTGGGATTAGTAAGACGTAAGGTAGCTGGAAATAGGATAACCTAAGTCCTATTAGATCGATATACTCATGGAACAGTGTGATCTTGCTAATGCAAAAGTATGAAATTAATTCTACCATCATTCTTATACCCTTGGCTTTCCCTTTAGGGTGGGGTCTTGAGCTTTTGAGCCTGCAATCAATTTTGTTTCAGCCGTTACCTTCCAATCAAATCAAATTCTTCTTCAACGCATGGATTGATTTACTTTGTCCATTACTTTGCGTAATTTTTACTCTTTGTTTGGTAAATCCAAAATCTAGTATTATTATTTTGTGCTTTTGTGCATTAAATCTTCTTCGAGTTTTAAATTGGGATTTCGGTTTGCTTTGTCGTATTCATAAACGTACCTATTGTAGTAAATCCATTTTCACTTTTTCCAGTATTAGTAATCCAATAAGCACTCCAATGAATCAGCCACTTTCTACGCACTGCTTTGGGGGGGGGTGGGGGGGGGGGGTGTTCATTTATTATATTTTGATAAATTTAGTTAAAAGTTATGCGAACGTTTATATTGTTTCTTTCTCTTTGCAGGTACCACTGTGGGTTTCATCGGATCAGATAGTCGGATCTTCCGTCAAATTCCTCGTGCCGATGTTATACCAGGGCTCGCCCGCTCTCCAGCCTCTTTCTTGGGTCAAAGGAGTTTCGTAGGCTCCAACAGCCTAGCAACCAGTCGAATCCACACTGGCACTAATGATATCGAATCCCAACCCCTAATCGGCGATGGAGACAGTGGCGACGAAGCGTTGCCAGATCGTCGAAATCAACGACTTCCCAACTTTTCTGATCGTCTGGCTCCTGACACTCCGTGGAATGATGATGATGATGATGAGGGGGGTAGTTCAGTAGGCGGAGGCAACTTTGTCGACGCCCCGGAAAATGTCGAATTTCGTGGTCAACGGCGGCGACGGGGCGGTGGAAGTGATAGTGACGATGATGCCGGCTTCGTTTTCGTCCGACCGGAATTCATTAGTGTGCCCCAGGAGTCTCCCGAACTGTAAATTTCCCGTCACGCTTCACCTATTCTCTCCCCATCTGATGCATTTGGACTGTCTTTCACTTTTATCTTTCATCAGCATGCTTCCTAGCTCTTTTGGTTATGTGTATTTAAAAGGGAATATAATAAATTTCTTCTACTTGATATGATATATTTTTAAATGAGTGTTGCTTCCCCTCTATCAATGTTGATGTTAACTTCTTAACGCCGGTCGTAAGCTGTGTTCTGAGCTAATTGTTTCATCCTTTTGCCAAAATAAGTGTTTATAATGGGGTTTAAATAGAATTTACCTACTTTTACAAAAGTAGGGTTTTTACTGTTTATATTAGCGGTCATTGAGTGTTTTAGATTCTGAGACTGACAAAGCTGAGAGTTCTTTCAATAGGCTTTGGCATGATCGTTATCACTGGATGCAAATTTTGAGGTTGTAGAAATTTTCACATCCGTAAATCGACATTTGCATAATTTGCACTGATAGATATCTAACTCGTGTTTTCTGAAGTGACAAACAGGTAGAATGCTTTTCTAACACCGGAACTTATCATGTGGAGATTGAAAAGTCGTTTTCTATTCTTAAAAGTACGCACCTGAATCGAGATTCCATTTGAAATCGAGTAAATGAGCATGCATTTGCCTGTAGTTTCTTGAACCACTCCATTGCAATACTTGATGTCCCTAATTTCGTTTGGCAGTTCTTGAAGTTCTATGCGTCAATTTGAGCATATGATTATGCTCTGGTCTATTTTTATTTTTACTCTCGAATAACTAGTTTTCTATAAAGTGGGACATTGTACGTCTGGAGATCCCTGCTGGGAAATTCTTTCCATTCACTCTCTCTAATATTCAATGTATCAAATAATTGGCACCCGTTCGGATCTATGATGCCTATATGGTCAGGAAAAATGTGTGAAATGGTCAATTTTGACTCCAACTGATCGAAATCAAGCTTATCCAGGGCATTAAAGCTAGTTTGGGACGTCTCTTTTGTCACAGCAGTAGAACAGTAAGTGAACTTCAACCGATTGAGCGAAAGGCTTTTTGTAATTTCATGTGTTCTGGTTAGCTGAGTGACTTTCAAGTCATTGTATATATATGTGATCAAGGATGCTTCTTCTATTGATTTGACTTTCTACTATGAGATGGGGAATGAGCAATTTGAGACTTCCTCCCACCAAACGTTTTGGGGGTTGTCTTCCTGAAATCCCAACGACAGTACTTGCAGTTCCTGTTCTAATTCATTTGAGAGTGCGAGGGTAGAGAAAGTACCCTTCAAGCCTTTTATAACACGATTTTTCAACATGTTCTTGTCATGTTGACTTTGGACATCTTATTAACGCTGCAATTCTCTTCATAAAACCATAATGGGAGAGTTTGTCAAGAAGTCACGAGATCGACATTCATCTGTACATATCTAGTGCAGCAGATAAGCCCTCTCACTGGCAAATTCTAATCGTGTTTCTCGTAGGAATGTGTCCAGCATACTCTCCTTTTCCACAAGGTTTGCTAGTGTGAATGAATTTCTTAGCGAGTTTGATTTTAAATCTTGGACAGTAATTAGCTAGAGTTTGTTAAATAACAAATTCACTTGCTTGTATAAACAGCTTCCAATGCCACTCATTTGTCTCGTGGTGATATGTAAATCATGACGCTTTTGATCAGGTACAAAGGTCACCCGGTTGCTCTATAAGCTAAGTACCAATCGTTCGGCACATGTTCATATTCTGAGTCACTAATTTCTTAAAGCCCAGAAAATTATCTTTCAAATCCAACTCTCTGCAAGCGCTTTCCACCACTCGTCTTGTGTAGAAGGATGGCGTCTTTCTGGAATCGAAATTCTAGTTTTCTATTAGCGTGAACTAGCCTATTTAACTGGCCATTGTGTTCATTGGATATGCACCGGTTGGCACTGAATTTTGTGGTTTTTTAGACAAGGACACCTATCACTGCTGCATCGGTGCAATCCAGGCACCACTGATTTATTGACTCAAGTTCTAAGATAAAAAAGCCAATTTTCATTTGTACCTTACTTCAGTAATTGTTATATCAAAAGCTTCCAACAAGGAGTCTATCTGGTGATGCGATGGATTCCTAAATTCGTGTTTGCTTCCTATTGGCTATGTTCTCGTAATACTGGAATCTTAATTTGCTTCAATTCTTTCCTTTTACGTTGTTAGCAATGCCTCCTAGTAAGAAGACTGCGGTACCGAAAGCGAGCAAAGGTTAGTTCTATGTTCTGAAATGAGTGCTCTAATTCTCTCCATCCCCTCACAATCTCCCTTTTCCCCCCTATATTTCAGTCGATTCACTGAAACAGGTTTCATTGATGGCGTTTGTAAAACCGGTGAGCAAATTCTGTAAAATGGCGTTGCATGAGTGCGATTTAACTCCCCTTTTTTACTATTATTTTTCTATTGACTTTAGACCGCATCGTCATTCGATCCCACTCCACCAGTGCAGAATACTTTAACGACAAGTAAACAACCTGCGACCGGTAGGCATTAATGTTTTCGGTGTAGCCTAAGCCTTATGCTACTTTAAAGTGAAATGAGTAGTGGACTGATATAATGCGATCTTTTGTTTACAAACTGATTCGTTTTATCGATTCTCTTGTAGTTAGTAACTAACGCCTGAAATCTCACGTAACTGCAGGAAAGGTAGAAGAAACTTTATCTTATGAGTAGGATTTGAGTATAAATTTTCAATTAATCGAGCAAGAGTTGACGTGACAACTTGACCATTCTCTCGGAGTACTCCAGAAATAAAACGAGCCTAAACTGGCTCACATTTTCGTGCATTGAGCCAATCCCGACTGTTTATAAGGCGTAATGAGGTAAATTTGACGTCAGGAGGGAGTCCATCATATTCGAGTTGCTTCTTTAATCAAGGTCATCACGATATTAGGCACTGAGAGTTGGAGTATCACCGTACCCTTCCTATTAGCTACGATCTTCCTTCAAGTAAGAAGTATAAATTTTTTATCATCAATTCTTCTTAGTGTTTTACCCCAGAGTTGCGTTTTGAAGAACTGTATTTTGGCAAATGTTTTCACTTTATCAAAATAACTTACCCATTTTAATTCCTACAAAGACTAACTGGTCTTGTCGTAGTTTTATTTTAATCTTTTCTTTCTATCTTGAACAAGTTTAGGTTTTAAAGATGGTAATTTTTTATAGTCATCCAACTTTGAAAATTCGACTCTGTCTAATCGAGGAGTTTCTTCGTTTCTTTGTTAGAACATAATCGTTCCTTTTTTTTGCAGTGCCTTCTAGAAGCAGTCCAACGATAATTCCGGAAACCCCAGATTCCAAAAAGTGCTCCCCTCGTATCTTCCGTTCCTCCACCGGTGATCTTGTTCATGCCCCACTTCCATCAGCACTTCCTGGGATTTCAACCAGCCACCCCTACCGCAAACCCCGACGATCTAGTTTTGTTACCCAACGCCATGCCCATGTTATGGAGAAACGAGCTGCAGAAGGTCGTGTCAGTCCTATTTCTCGTATGGGCGATTATTGCAGTCTTAACTATGCTCCAATTCATCAGAATCCTTCTTCCTCGACTCCAAACACATTTGCAAGTGAAAGGGCACGACGAATGGTTCGATTAGCTGTTGGTGAAACACCTCCGGCTAAACCTCAAGTACAAGTAAAACGACCTACTGTGTTGGAGGAAGAAACTGTAATTGAAGATAGTGTGATTCTTGAGGATGTCAAATCTCCACCACCGCAACCACGATCGGTTAAAGCGAGGCGCTTGATTACTCTTAATAGTCCGGAGGAGAGACATTTGAATGATATGTTAAAGGAAATTAATGAAAAGCAAAAATCTCCTGAAACAGTAAACTCGAAAAAGGAGTCAGAATCTGGTGAAAAGGTCGGAGAAAGTCTCATTCTGGAAGAGTCATTTTTCAATGCTTTGGATGATGATTGGTCTCTTGAATTCAAGGAGTATATTTATTAAATGTTAGATATTGTAAAAAGGAAATTTATTACCTTTCAAACGTTTTTTCCTCCTTCCGCTAAGTAGGAACTTGAATTTTGGTACGAACTACAATGGCAAAATTCCAGAGGAAGCGAAACGACCGTGGTACCGCTGTCGGATTACAGACATTTCCTCAAAAGGGTGGGTTTTTTTACTTTATTCTCTTTTTTTAATAACTGTGCTTTTAATTAAATAAATACTTATTAGGCATTCAATAACCATTTCGGCCGTTCACATGGATACCAAAGAAGCCATCACTATTGATCTTTCTGGAACTTGGTAAGTGCTTTCAGATTATTTCGAACCTTCTTTTTAACAATTAGAAGTGCCCATATTGGTGCAGATAAGTTAGAGATCTAGGAAGGGCTCTATGCTAGGAAACCTTATCGTATATTGACAGAGCATCTGAGCAAAGTTCTCGGGTTCTACCATTTTTGTGCTAGTTTATTAAATGTTTCATTTTTCTTGGTGCTTTTGAATGAAATCTCGCCACTTACCAACTATACATCATTTGTGGTTTTATTATCATATTAGCCATTTTCGCACAATTTGTCAATTTTTTATTAGTTTATATTATCGTGCTTACAGCTTATTGGTATTTGAACTACAAAATACGGATTTCTCATCAGAGGCCCTAGTATATAACTTTTAAGATCAAGGTGACTTGAAAATGTTCACTAACCCCCCCCCCCCCTACTTTTATTCTTAGCTTCCGCAATTCTCAATGCATTATGAGTGTCGAAGGCTATTGGCTATTGGTCTGAGGCGATATTAACACGCAAGTCTGCGAAAGCGGAGGTCAAGCTTTCCATGGCGGGCAACATATATCCATCTCCGTTTATTATTAAATGAGGTTCCACGAATCAAATTTCCCACACTAGCGAACTAATGATGCTGTCCATTTACCCGGTGTAAGTGTTGGGGGGGGGGGGGGGGGGGGGGGGGGGGGGGGNAGGGTGGGGGGGGGGGGGGGAGGGGGTAGGGGGTAGGGGGTAGATGCTTGTAGCCAATTCATGATACTTTGAGTTATCCCTGGTTACTTTTTTCATTTTATTACGGAAGCAAACTTTGTGTATAACTGTTATCGTTCAAAGCTAATTTAATGCTGAATCATATGGTCGAAGAGGGCACGATCGAAATGGTTGGATTTCATCTGTAATAACCCTTTTCTTTCACGTGTAGGACTGATACGCCGGCTCGGTTAGGAAATATTATCCATCTTGTCCCCTCCATCACTGACTCTCAATCTTCTGTTTCCCCACCACCAACCTTCCACCTCTCAGACGAAGATCACATTCAGTCTGAAGGAACACTATCCTCTCCCCATTCTACACCCCGCCTTCTTATCTTAGAGCCCGAAGTGCTCATCTCAGGAACAACTGTAGCAAGTATTGCAGCTGGACGTTGTTCACGGCGAGCTGTTCTTCAACATCTCTGGGCTGAAAATGAGGTCTTGGAGTCGATAGCAACAGAATCATCGGTTAGTGTGACTACTTCCTCTGCGTCTGGAACATCAAACTCGGCAGTGAATGTGATGCTCGTTGGTAGTGTGGTTCACGAGGTCTTTCAGCAAGTATGTTTCGCTAACAGCGTTCCTCATTCATCTTTCATACTTCCTGTCTACCCAAGATGAGTGTTTAAAAACGTCTCTCTCTCTCAACGAGCTTTTGGGTTTTTATGATTAAGTTAAGTTGATCCTTCACTGCTCTTTTCAAAGCAATTGTTATTAATAAGGTAATCCACACTTTTAGGCTTAATGCTTTTAAACTTTTTTGTTGTAAGGTCGCAAAAACTCTTTTTGATCTAAAATTTCAAGCATTTATTTTTGAAAACACCATGAACTTGGGTGATTTTTGTATTTATAGGTTTAATGCCGTTTCAGTTCACATACGTCCAAAATTTTTATTTGTCTGCAATTGGCATATATATATATATATATATATATATATATATATATATCAGAGGGCTCTATAAAGTATTCTTTCAAGTATTGTGTGTGTGGGGGTGTGTGTGGATTCGCGGCGGTCACCTGTTTTTTTTGCTGTAAACCAAAATTTATTTATTTCAAACGCCAGGCGTTTTGATAATTATCATAAGCCCTTTAGCTGACTTCGGGTTTCACAGAGAGGAGGAGGAACATCAAAGTGACGAAAAGTCGAGAGGGGGGATAGCATAATGATTCGCAGAGGTAAAAGAGACAGACAGACAAAAAGGCATAAAAAAGGTAAGAGGAGTAATTTGGAAGGGGTCAAATATGACATACAATGGAGGTGATGGCAGTTTGAAGTCAGAAGTCAATTGCCGATCAATAGGCTTTTTTGCCGTATGAGCATACGTTGCCCAGGTTGCACCAGGTGGAGGTTAGTCTATCGCACACGCTCTGTGCACCAAAATAGGGTATTTTTCCCATTTTCTGACTTTGGCTTAAAAGCAGACCCCACTGCGCTTCCCTAGTGAAGCAAATTCCTGCTATCCTACCACATTAGAGAATCATGGAACCAAGATCACAGTTGCCAGTATTACCACTTGAATCCGTTAAGGAAAGTGTCGACAACACTGCACTTAAGTGGAAATAAAGTAAATAGAAGGAATTGATGAGAGAGTTGCACTTTGCTTTCCTTCTTCCTACCCCGAATTGACCAGTACGATTGGTCAACATCTTCACTAGATGCGTCTCATTGAGTATTGACATAGAAGTCTCTAAATTGGTAGACATGCACATTGACCACTGTGGTTAGAAAGTAAATTCATGTTAGTTAGTCCGTATTACATCAGGCCAATTGGATAAATGGTCTGGTGAGAATTGATTCCGCCTTAAAGGAGATTTTTTTCTACCTAAGATGAGTGCTAGTAAACACTTCCCAATAGTATCATTCTTCCATTGATATCTATTCCATGGGTAATCCATTTATAACCAATTATTAGAAATTACTATATGATATTTATCATTAGCCCCTTAGTTGACTTCAGCTTTCCCAAGGGGGGGGGGGGTTCATATATAGGCATTAGGATAGCTAACAGTAGTTCATTAATTGACTTCTGGCTTCGCAGTATCTCTGAGTTTCTTTCATTGCCTTTAGGGCTGGATGCCGAATCAGATGGACTTTCTCCATTTCCTCCTGTATATCACATAGGGGTCATGTTTGTTGAGCGTACACGCCTATTCTGTGAAGGTGTTGCACCAGGCAAATCGTGTCCAGTACGCAGTCTAAACTCTTCAACAACTTCGATTCTTGGCCAGTCAGCTTTGTTGGAGAGTGCCGCTTTAAGTTCGTTGCACCTTGAAGTGTTGAATTTTCTCCTGATTAAGGTCTTCATTGGGTAGAAAGACATTGGCAGGTCTATGCCTTGCAAAACTGTGGTCCACTTCTTAACAAGTGTGCCATCGCGCTCATTGCCTATAATGTCACAGCGTCCAGGGAATTAATATATATATATATATATATATATATATATATTCGTCACTGAAATGTTATTCTATGCTCAACTTTGAGTTTTTTTATGTTTTACTCACTACTCTTTTGTTAAGTAGATTGAGATTTCAAAATTGCTATGTTCTTCAATGCATTGGAATTAGCGTTCCTCAGAGGCTCTCTCTATCATCTGTTTATGTCCATTTCAGGTCGTTAAAATGCGGATGTCGGGTAAATCAACATCCACAAGGGAGGTCCTCTTCAGCAGTATTATCAAACCCTCAATTATACTTCAATTGTAAGTTATCAATTCGTTATTGCAAGAATTGGCAACCAGTTCTTCTTACCCTTTACGAAACCATTTAATGCTCTAGCAAAATGCCATGAAACGCACCTACATGAACTTTTTACAGTTTGCAAGTTTGTGGTATGACCTGAATTTGTGCGGAAGATGATTAAATATTACACCAAATTACGCTGCCTCGTGTGTTCTTCACTATTTCGCAATATTGTTTGATGTGCACTTTAATTAATCAAGGAAGAAAAAATGTCCTTTTTTACAAATCCTATATCAATATTTCGTAAATGTGCACACCAATTAAAGGGTTTTGAATTAATGGTCGATAATCTGCTTTACTGTTGAGGCCTATTGTTGTTTTGCACAGCAAGGCGATAAGTTTTGCCATTTATAAAGCATTTAAATACGACGTGCATTGTAATTGTGTCCAATAGGGGAGGAGTGGGGAGGGGGGGAAGGCTCGAAGAGTAGGGATTGGGTCTGGACCTCAAAAGTTATTAATTTTCACACCTTTTCAACCTACCCTATTGTTACCGAGCTTAAATGACAAGGTTCGGCTCTTGGATCCCTGAATACTGCTAATATCTGTGAGTACAATGCTCATAGATTGTCGCAGTGAATTGAGTGTGGCCTAGTCGTATCACTGGCCAATTTATTGACAAGGTCAACTATTTGATAATAGCTTAATGATTTATAAAATTTTAGAACTCGTTGGAATATGTGGAAAGTAAGACCCAAAGGTTACAATGTAAACAAACGTTAAGCAGTTTAATTCAGTTCACTTAATCCATATTTTGAAATGAAATTACACCCTTGCTTTTTTTAAACCTACTTAAAGGAGAATATATTCATACTTTTCAATATCTCTGAAAATTGGTAGGGCAAAGTCGGTCTAATTGGTCAATATTTCCATCGCTCACTACTACCCCAAGCTTATTGATCAAATTTTTAATGTAATATAAAATAGCGGACATTTAAATGCTTTGCTCAATATCTTCTTCGACCTCTAGATATGGACTAGGTGATTCTCCTAAAGAATTCTGCGCATCTTTGGAGGTTTTTCTGCCAAAGATTGATCAATGGGTTAAGGAACATTGCTCTTCGAACTCCCGGTATGCTTTCCAATGTAAATTTTTTCTTCAGTGTATTGGTTGAATTTGTTTTTTTTATTATGGATTTCTTATTACAATTGCAATTTTAATTGTGATAGGGCGTGTTTGATTAGCGGTGTAGCTCTCCCCTGCGGTTGCGTTCATTGTTACTAAGTCGGAAGACTGGTCTCAGAGCCTTTTCTCTATGCTTTTGTCACCCCAAACGCTGTTGATCACTTAATTAACCAAAAAAACTGAACCAAAGTTGTTCGCGATGTATCGTTACGCTTAATTCGGCTAATTTCAAATATTGCCTATTTTCTATTTCGCTGGGGAATTGTATTATCGTTGCGCAGTGTGCTAAGCGAATGCAAATCAATGATAAGTATTTTAAGCAACTCGCTAACTTGGCGGAATGTGTTTGCGAGGCATATTTGCGTTGGTAGGTATGATCTCCCGAGCCTACGCCATAAAATGCCTCGAGATATATACTCCAGTGGGGCGATATCAGCAGTCATTCTATTTTAAACTCTATCATTAACTTTATTGGCCTTGGCAAGATCCTCAACCATTTTTTTTCAAGTTGGTTAACTAATTCATGCATTAATCCACAGTTACTCTTTCTTTCCAATCAAGTCATCATTTACTTATATCGAATGGCAGGCGTTTTGATAGTTATCATTACCCCTTTAGCTGACTTCGGGCTTCACAGAGGGGGGGGGGGAATATATAAGTCACAAAATGTGGAGAGGGGGAACAGAAGAGTGATTCACAGATATAAAAGAGACAGACACAAAAGTGGAAAAAAGGTGAGATGAGTACTGTGGAAGGGGTCGAATATGGCATACAGTGGGGTGATGGTAGTTTGAAGTCAGAAATCAACTGCCAGTTAATAGACTTTTTTGCCATATGGATATACGTTGCCCAGGGTGAACCACGTGAAGGTAAGTCTATCACACACCCCCATCAAGTCGTCATTAAGGGTAATAATTTGCGACCTAAGGGGTCTGTCCATAATTATGCCGCGACAGCCTAGATTACTTCAGTGGCTACATGATTTTATACTAACTACTCCTGACACGATGCACCATTATGCCTTTTGCAGTGGGGATATGAGTTTTTTATTTCAATTTTTATAAATATTTTAGAACAGCACCTTCGAATAAGCCAACCATCAAAGAAGTTCTGGATATCGAAGAAAATATCTGGTGTACAAAGTAGGTTTACTTTTGTCTAAATAGGGTCAGCGTTTAGGCTGATGGATTTTTGATTTGGCATCCCGAATCGTTTATGATAATATTCCAACGATAATCGATAATCGCTATTAAATGTATTTACTTTTTGTAGAATCGGAGTGAAAGGAAAAATTGACATGACGGTCATGTGTCAAATTGGAAAGGAATTGGATTGTAGCTTAATTCCCTTGGAATTGAAGACTGGAAAACCCTCCTTCTCCTTCGAGCATCAGGGCCAGGTCAGTTGGCATTCTCTGCCCATTTTTTGCCTATATTCTCGATTTTAGTAGGTTATACGCCCTATTACGAAAAAAATCAATAATTACACGGTCTTAAGTGCTCACAGAAATGGTATAGTAAGTCACGTTGCATTCGCCAAGAATGGGTGGGGGTAGGGGGGGGGGGACATGTGATCAAGTTCACAAACTTGTGTACATCAGCTTTCTCGCCCCTCCCCTCCATCCTTGGGATGATGGTTTACCTGCCCTTGTATAAGTGGGTAATTGCCTATACTCAATCCTCTGCGTAGGTCCTTGAGGATGACGTGTGTTGATATGCCGTTGAAGGTACAGCAAAACGAAGTATCCAATTCAAGGTTTACGCGATGGAACCACCGATATTTTCGAATCGTTTAATAGTTGGACTGTGAATTATTATCCTGGGTTCTGAATCGAGGGCATGCTGGAAACGGTTGATCAATTTGTAAGCTAGGTGTATCAATAAACGCTGTCGATGTTATTTAATCCAGCTGAAAGTTAAATATATTCTTTCATATGTTACACCAAATCGTATGCCACTTGGATCTCATAGTAATAATATTATTAAGTATCTATTCTCTACCCAGGTACTTCTCTATCTTTTGATGCTTTCCGATCGTCACTCAGACCGCTTTCAAGATGTCGCAAAACACGGTTGGCTGGTCTACCTGCGTCAACCTGATCGACGTCAGATGGGTCAATCGGATTTGGTTAAACCTCAAGCGAGCAGCTTTCGCGGTTTGATTCAAACTAGAAATCGCATTGCAGCCTCTTTGAAACGTTTGATTGCATTGGATGACTTAATTCCCGAAGAGGGGAAAGAGAATGCTAAATGGAGCCCCCAGTTGCCATCTCCGTTGGACAGGGAGCGTGTGTGCTCCTGGTGTCCATACCTCCTCACCTGCGGTCTATTTCGTGGAGAAAGGTAAGCACAGTTAGCTTTTCCCTTTATTTCGTTTGATGGAATCTCGATTTGTAGGACGTTGAAGACTTGGCGGGAAAAGATACGTGTAATCAGAATGTTTAATGACCTTGGCCGGGTAAAATTTAATTTATGGCAATAGATTATGTTTCCTGTCAAAATGTTGATGTCTGGATTGGAGGAAGTGCGGCTTTAAGCATCCACTTGATGTTATGAACGGTTAATGCGATGTGGATACCGTAGCTCCTATTAAAGGAGCACTTCTCTTGGGCGCTTTTACCCTTCAGGCCTTCCTGTTAGGTGCGAACAAGCTATTTATATTTGTGTGTGTGTGTGTGTGTGTTAGGGTTTAGTTTTCAAGTCATTAACTGCATGTCATTTTTTTATGAACATGGATTAATATTTGTATTTCCCTAACTGCGCATCTAGTAGAAAAATCGGACTTGTTAGTGTAGAGAAAAATTTGCGCAGTTTGTAATTTACTGGTTTATAGAAATCCATAACTATGTGGTGTTTGAAATGTGAATTATTATTTTCCTCTATTATTTTCTAATCAGTGGTGTGGTGGTTAACAAGCATTTGCGAAATCTGAATTTATGGACTTGGGGCTCGTAAAGTCGACACGCCACTGTCTGTTAGGTGGCTAAGCAGTGAAATAATGTGTAGCACTCACCAAATAGACTACCTATTCCTGTTAGTAAGACGATGTAGTATTAATTGCAAGTATAATATACCAGTGGAGGAGACAAGTGTCAAAGGTCAGGCATAGGTGAGTGGCGTATCGCTTGCTGACTCATTTGATCGAGATTCGGGACGAGTCAAATGAGGTCATTCGAATCACTGCAAGTTATGCCTCCATAGTGGGGTGTGCGATAGACTTACCTCCATGTGGTGCAACCTGGGCAACGTATTCTCATACGGCAAAAAAGTCTATTAACTGGCATTTGACTTCTAACTTCAAACTACCATCACCTCACTCTATGCCATATTCGACTATTTCCACAGTACTCACCTCACCTTTTTTCTACCTTTGTGTTTGTCTCTTACATCTTTGAAACAATCTTCTGTTCCCCTCCCCCTCTCGACTTCTTTTCAATTTGATGTTCCTTCCCCTCTTTCCTCCTGAAGTCAATTAAAGGGCTAATGATAGCCATCAAGACGGCTGCCATTTGATATAATGACTCCATAAAATCATACTAAACATGAGATACTCCAAATCGTTGCTGGATGAGTACGCTTTTGTACACTTTATAATTTTCCTCACGTCTTTTCTTTAGTTAATCGCTCGTGTTATACATTGTGAATTTGTTGAAGTGATTTCTGCAATTTAAAAAACTAAGAACTCCGGAGCGAACGAAAATTCTCCCACAACTAGCACTTGTAATTCTCCATCAGTACAAATCTTGATTAGGCGAGATGCAATTTCATAGCCTGTTTATTTGAACCACCATGCAGAACGACCTTAAACACCTGCTCATTCCTATGTTTAATTACTTGACATTAACGGAAGAATCCTTGTCATTTACGGTGAAATTCTGCACAATTTATGCATTTATAGCTATCTACTTTCTCCTGTTATATGTAATACTAGCGTTTTGTCCATTACATTCGCATTAACAACCGTCCTGGTCATGTATCCGAGGTTAGTGTCAAAGTCATTCATATCAAATGGGAGGCGTTTTGTTGGCTATCATTAGCCCTTAAGTTGACTTCAGGCTTCACAGAGGAGAAGGAGCATCATAGTGAAAACATTCGAGAGGGGAGGGGGAGGAAAAACGTGAGGAAGTGATGGAATATGAACACATACAGTGGGGTGTTCTGGTAGTTTGAAGTGAGAAGTCAACTGCCGGTTAATAGACTTTTTTTTGCCGTATGAGTATACGTTGCCCAGGGTGTACCACGTGGAGGTAAACTGTGAACTGAAGAGCTAGCCGAATGTGGGATACGCCTTTAGGGCTTTGGGTGAGCGTTTGGGGGGTGGTTAATGGATTGAAGTAGCCATCGTTTACAATTCGTTAGTGAATAATTGACAATCTTGCCGAATTTCAGAGCGCATAAACAGGATGGGTAGGAGGGGAGTTAGTGAATGCGAATACTTGTGCTGGAAGAAGTCAACGCAGACACTTGGTTGTTTCGGGAAGATGAGTGGAGGCATCGAGAAGCAAATTAATGGAATGAATGAAATTTTTCATGAGTATCCAAATTCCTATTAATTAATATTCTTGGCCGATTATTAAAAAATCTGATTTTGGTTTGTTTTTTTGTTTGCTTGTCACCTTGTATTACGCATTTGTTCACCCTTTTTCATCATCACTATAGCACCCCACCTCCAATTGATGCCCAACTACATCAAATGTTTAACGATCGCATAAAGCACGTCAAATTCGATCACAAGACCTTCCTCCTTCACTGGACTCGTCTCCAACTTCTCGAATACGCAAGTAGCAACAGAGTTGACAAAGTCCTCGTTAGCATAGCGGAATCCACAAATGAGGCAACGTAAGTTATTTCCCCTTTCGATACCTTCCTTTCGTTTCGTATCCCTTTTCTCTAATACCTCTTTTGATATCTTATAGTTCTGGTGCTATTCGTGGGTTGATCGTCGAAAATACGTCACAATCTACTTCTGATAGTGAATTTGTCATTAATATGGTGAAACAGGACAGTGGCCAAATTACAATGTAAGCTCATTTCTACCAACGTTCACTGGCAGGCTGGTTTTGTCTGGCCTATACACATATTTCTGATGTCCCATAAAACTGACAAATCGTAGGTGCGCAACATTGAAGGTCATTTAGGGGGGGGGGGGTGTTTATTGAAGCCATGGTGTTGGGTTTAAAAACAGGTACGACGCACAATCTACTTTCATTTAATGGTGAAATAATTGTACTTCAACTTTTTTTGTCATTAGCTTCAGTAAAACAAAAATTTCACAACTTCTTAGCCCCTTTGTCTCCTTTACGATGTGAACCAGTCCGTCAGTTAGGCAATCTGCATTGGAAGGCCGCTACTGACGGGATTGGCACTTCTCGATCGCCATCACACACTTCCATGCAACGACCGAAGATTAGCCACCCTTGCCTGTTTCTAGGTTTTCACCTTAACTTGGCAAAAATTTGCATTCATGTCTGTTTTGTTGTAAAATAGAGAACTGTCTATTGAAGGAAATATACTTTAACATCTTGACGAATGATCTCGAATTTTTCATGTTATTAACTTTGTTAGTAACAACAACTATTCAATTACCAATTTAGGTGAGTCAGCAACGTGCAGAAATTTTATTGTTTCCTTTCTTAAACCTTTTTTAGCCAAGGTATGTCGCTTGGAGGCTTCTTTATAGTCAGTAGTGACGACAGCCGTCATGTCGGTCTTTGCCTCGCCACTCTAAAAGCCGTATCACCGTCATCGAGATCACTCACCATCTGCACGGACAGGTAAGCTCACTATTCTTTCGCCTGGTAATGGAAACAAGTACTTTATGTCTCGATTTCCCTAGTGTCTATCGTGCATATTATTGTTAATACCAGTGTGGTCACCTAGACATGAGTATTATTGGCCTATTACTAGCTGTTGATAGAGAAAGTGCCGACTGCAATATTTTCCATCACTTTACCTAAGTTACGTGCAGTAGTGGGAAAATCAATTTTGTTGTTTCTTATTTACTTAGGCCCTTACCTCAATGGATTACACGATTTCGATTGGATCGCTATTTCGCCGATAAGGCTGTTCAGATCAACCTCTCTAATCTAGTGGGGCTAATGGAAAACTCTAGAATTTGGTAAGTTGTCTGATTGGGAAAAAAAATACTTTTCCTTCATTAAAGATACTAATTACGTTTTATGTCTCGATAGTGCTCAACTTCGACAGTTGATAATCGACCAAAATTGTCCCCGATTTACGCGCAGTCTGAAAAAGTCCACTCTTCTTGATGGTAAGTTGGGCCTCGCCCACTCTACTGAAGCTTGCCTAAACCTCTTAGACTTGCTAATGCCTAATCAACACTTAAAGAATTCAGTGGAGCTCACTTGTTCTATAATTTGACGTATTCAACGAATACTAATTTATATCAAATGGCAGGTGTTTCGATAGTTATTTTTAGTCCTTTAGCTAACTTCGGGCTTCACACACACACACACACACACACACAGAGAAGAAGAATACCAAAGTCGCAAAAAGTTGAGAGGGGAAACAGAAGAGTGACTCACAGAAGTAGAAGATAGAGTCAGACACTAAGTCAGAGAAAAGGTAAGGTGGGTACTGTGGAAGTGGTCAAATATGACATACAGTGGAGTCATGGTAGTTTGAAGACAGAAGTCAACTGCCAGTTAATAGACTTCTTTGCCGTATGATTATACGTTGCCCAGGGTGCATCACGAGGAGGTAAGTCTATCGCACATTCCCGTTTAACGAACCTACTTCAGCCTATTGGCAAACTTGAAGTAAAGTTGGCAATCCATTTCTTGATCACTTTTTTGCTCCTAAGTTACGTTAAAATTAATGCGCAGACTGCCTATAATTGTCTGATTTTTCTCAGATAGGATAATGCTAATTGACAAAACGCGGCTTATCTTGGTACTTCTAGAACCTATTTTTCATAGTCTGGACTTGTCGATGACATTGTGCCAACAGCTGTTTTCAATTAATCTAGATGATTACCTTTAGATCGCATGCTTTCCAATCACAAAAGCTGCTTCAGTGTGGCTTAAAATGGAGTTTCTCTCTTCCGCAGGTTTTAGGCTCGAGACCCCAATTGAGCCTTTTGTTTTGTGCTAATAGTTTTACTTCATAACAGAGAGGTGCGAAGTTGACACCACCATATACATATATATATTGATTTTACCGAGTCACAAGTAACTATTTCAATTGCCTTTGTGCCAAGATATTCTTCATTGAAATGCTAACTGTTAAATTATTGTGTGCCCTGGTTAGTTCGACGATTCCTTCGCCCTTTGAATATGCATCAACGTCGAGCTGTTCTTTCCGTTCTGATGTCGAAGGACTACACCCTGATCGAGGGCTTTCCGGGTTCAGGTATGTAATTATCAAAGTTTATTATCGATTCCTGCTAATCTTATGCATTCACATTGACAAAGCCAATTTAATTATCTCTCTGGGGGCCAATAATACAGTTAATTTATTTTTATGAGTAATTCATGAAATTAGTCTAATTTCAATTAGTCACGTGGTACTTATTCTTCGGACTACCCCTTTCACTTTCAGCAATCATTTGGATATCCTTGGGAGTTATCTCAGTAAATAATGCAATTACATTGGCAGGTCTATAAACTCCAGATACCTCGGACATGAAATCACTCAGATACCTAGGGCTCGAATCAAAAAGATTTAGTTTGTTGAGTAAAGAGAATTAAACCGCTTGTGAGAAAGTTGACTCAATATTTTCACATCTAAGGTAATGCTGGAAACCTATCATCAGGACCACATATGTGGACTCCCTTCCAACCCATGCTTATCTACTCTACTTTCCATCGACGATTTGCATTTTTTCACAAGTTTCTTGACCAGTGCTTATTTGACTTTCCTCATCATCATCATCATCACGGCCGATTTAAAGCTAGGGTGGCTCTCACTCCGGAGGGTGTGTACATCATGGGTGGGG